CCGAATGTCCCAGGTTCGAATCCTGCGTAGTGCAGGAGTCGTGGATGCGCTCTGCTGATCAGTTGTCCCATATCAGGACGAAACGGCCATCGTGCAGTGCTTTCAGGTTTCTAATGGTGCTCTAATAATGACTGACTGATGATTTCAAATGTGTAAAAACACCAATCTCCATAAATCTAATTGAAAATCTAATTAATTTATGCTATGAACAGCTTTGTTTAAATGACACGATCTCTGTTCATTTAATTTGATGAATGTATATATATTGCAATACAGTTTATTTTACTGGAATGAATGTTACTTCGATCAACAAATAATCCATTGTTAAGAATGCGTTTAGTAGTCGAATAAAATCATAAACAAAGTCAAGGAAAAGTTGAGTTTTTTAAGATTCTATAAATTATGAATATGACAATAACTAAAATCTTAATATTTGTTCTTTTCTTCAAATAATAAGTTTAATTGTAAAAAATATTTTAACGTGAAAATTGTTAGTCTTCTCTTATTATTATTATTATCACTGTAGTATTATTCTAATACTTACTGTTTCATTTACGTACAACTGTTGCACCCAATCGAACATAGACCACCGACTAGCATTCTTCAACCTTCTCTGTCCTGGACCTTTTATTTTCTCGTTTTGTCGAACTTTTGCTCATTCTTCTCATGTCTCTCTCCATTTCTCGACGTGATGTGTGTTTTGGTCTTGTCCTGTGACTCCGCTGGCTGCTTTCTTTAACGTCTGTCTCATCTACTTCCATCGCTTCAAACTGATTTCTCCCACCGCTGGAACCTGTTTTGTTCTCTCCCACAGTAGGTTGTTGCTAATGGTATCTAGACAATGGATCCGAAGTATTTTGCGTAGACAACTGTTAATGAATATTCGTATCTTTCGAATGATGGATTTCATAGTTCTGTAAGTTTCTGTACCATACAGTAGAACTGTCTCAACATATGTAATAAATATTCTGACTTTGGTGTATGGTGATCGTTGACTCGAGTACTAGATGTTCTTCAAATGTAGAAATGCAGCCCTTGTTTTGCAAATCCGCGCCAATTCATCTAATGACTAATAAATAGATATCTGAATTGCAATATGAAACAATGAGCAAAAACTATGCATTTCCAATTTTAATAGCTGATGAATCCTAAACAGGACGAAATGCGCGTTCTGAATATTCTGCTGATATCCCCTTATATTTCAGTTATAGTCAATCACTAATCGATTCGCATCCTACAGGTCACACTAACTAACCTATGAAATGAAAGACCTGATATTCATGCTTCACTAATAATTATTGCCATGTCATTATTAATTTGAACTAAAAATAAATGATCTAGAAAATAATATTATTTATTATTGAATTATGAAATTATAGAAATTATAGTAGTAGTAGTAGTAGTATATGATATGATACCAATCGTAATCTTCACTTAATAGATTTTAATCTTTTGAAAGGTTGAAATAGGAAGCACTTCTAGCAAAAAAAAGTTAATTATTTCCCTTTATTGATTAAAATCTCGATGATTTTGTAAGTTCATACCTTGTCCTTAAAATGGTATTTTGATTAAACATGAACTGATGAAAAAAAACAATTTTTTTTTAAAATTTTGTAATTTAAAAATTAATGTCATAATTATTGTTTCAGTTTTCTCACTCCAGTATTATAGAGATCATAGTTTAACCTTGAAATCATGTATGAGCCATGGTTAGATCACTGTTAGTTGGACATTATTATCGTTGTATGCCGGCTCAATGACCCAGAGGTTAGGCATTCATGTGCAAGACTGAAGGGTCTGGGTTCGAATCCTGAGAGCAGCAGATGTCGACAATGCCCACCGCTGATGTGGTCTATATCAGGACAAAACGGCTATCCATTGCTTCTAGGTTTTTAATGGTAATCTAACAATGATTCATTGATGATTTCAAGGTTATATTGTTTCTGTGTTTGTTGATCTATTCACTATCAAAACAAAAAGAAGTTTTGTCACGTAAGCATTACTTATTTACTACTCATACTTGTTATCCATTGTGAAGCATAGGACAATGACTAGGCTTCTCCGAAAAAAAAAACAACTCTGTTCAGTGTAATCGCTTTTCTAGTGAATTAAGTTAAAAGAAAGAATAATACTGCCATTTCTACAATGCAAAATAATCTGACATGATTTTTCCCTGTCTTAATTAAATTTTCTATTCATATATCAGTGACATTTATAGACAATGCGACACCATGTTATGGAAAGAATCGTACTTAACTTGATAGCTATTATATTTAGGGACAAAATAACAATTTTACAAGTAGACACATTATTATTATTATTACTATTATCATTACTATTATTATTATTATATGCCACAAGATAAAACAAATTCAATTACAACATAGTGCTACGCACATAATCAAATATTCATTGGTTGTTTCAATGCAACATATAAAAACAAAATAAAGATGACATAAAGTACTTATAACTGTTCACATAGTTGACTGTTTAATGCTATAGTTGATCTGATATTGATAAAAAATGTTTTCTTTGAAATGTCATCTATACCATGTGTTGTGTAATTCATGTAGATAGAAAAAAATAAGGAACATTTGAGTCATTGTAAATATCACGACTGTATGGTTTTTTTAATCAATGACGATCAGGGTGCACATAAAAAATTACGGTCAAATTTAAAAATTAGAATACAGAATCATAAAAAAAACAAAACATGCATGCATGCATGTCATACAGAACAGTTGGTTATATTTATTGATAAAAATGCATAAAACATAGAAATCGATAACTGTTACATCTTTTATAGATGGTTATACAAAATGAGTGTAGAACACTTCACTATCATAAGTCTGTTTCTTTAAAAGCTGAATAATTTATTACTTAAATATTATCAAATGTACTTAGCAGGAAAAATATCGATGATAGATTAACCAAACATTGATAATGATGTAAAGATTAGGGTAAATGAAATTGAAAATAAAATGTACATAAAGGATAATAACATTTTTTCCAATATTTCCAATAGAATATCATAGATAGATATAGATATTTTTGAAACCATGAATCGATCAATGTTAGACCACACCATTAGAAACTTGGAAGCACTGCACGACGGCCGTTTCGTCCTGGTATGGGACTACTCAGATCGATTCATGGTTTCAAAAATGTGTAACTTAACAATCTCCACAACTCCGTAACGCAGATGTAGATATGTGTGCAACTGTTTTTAATTCACAAGAAAAAAACAGAACTTATTTTGTCAGACATTTCTACTTAGTTTATGATAACTCTGCTGATCGTGATAATCCAGTAGAGATACGTTAACTGGAATATTTTTTCTGAACTCTAAGTTGTATCAAGTTAGACGGTCGGTTAAGGGACGATGGTACTAAAAGCAGTAAAATAAGGTGTTAGAACAAGGATGTAGTGCCAAGTATAATGGAGTGTGACAACAGTAAGTTGTTTACTGAAGGAAATCGACACTTACAGTGATTTAAACTTTTCACAATGTAAAGAAATGATTAGGAAATTTAAACAGAAAAATTACCATATTAGAAGTTACTTTTTCGGAATTCCTCTACATTACAATGCTAAAGCATAAAGAATTTCTCTCAGAAAATTTGTATGTAACTGGTTCTCCTAAGGTTCTTCAGCCATTATACTAGGCCACTAAAACCACTTCTAATCAAGTTGGCGCCTCAGTTTCTTCATTAGGAAGTACCTAATGATCATAGTGGAAACCGAGAAGTGGCAACCGCATTCATACCTCTAACAGTATTCGACATCACCTAGTTCAAAACTCAACTCACCATTATTTGTAACAGTCAACATAAAAAGAAAAATATGGTCTAATAAAGGTTTTAAAATAACTCATACTAGTGAACTACTACTACTAGTTTGTCAGTAGGTGTGTCATTCGAAAAACCAAAATTATTACGATGGTGTACATTTGCAGTTGAAAATTTCCTATATGATACCTTTTAAATTTTCTAATTGTTATGATCAATGTAACGACTGTTTATATATGTATTCGATTACATGAGATTGTGTATCACTTTACTGATGATTACAAGAAAGATTTCATTTCATGTAAATTGATTTAAGTCAATTTCCAATAAATTCATACGCGTGCAAATAATACTTGCTCAGAAAGTATATAAACAATCTTGAATAAACTGTTGCAGTGGTCGGCATTCACATCGCCTTAGTCAACAATTTATTCAGTTACCTTCATAATTGAATGCTTTAACACTTCTACAGTAATTTTATATCGTGTTTATAGTCAATTTAATTTTTAGACCAAATATTTTCGGACACTTCCTAATTATCAGTATAACTATGGTGAAATTGCTAACAAATATTTTATATTTCAGATAAATAAATATTCATGTTACTTTTGTATTTTTTTATATACCAGTTAGTTTCTAATCAATCGCATAATACGCTGTTGTATGCATTTGCTTTCTCACTTATACAACAATCAGATAGGAAAGTTAAATAACTTTTGGAACGATCAGCATTGTGTAGTTAATATCACAGACTAACCATAGTTAAATAACTGAATAAAACTATCTCATTACATTACGGTTGTAAATGCATGCCCCTTGAAGAGTTCGATTTTTTGAGAGGAATCTACGGTCAGTGCCTAATGCCAACCACTGAAGTTAAAAAATATCCATATGTCTTTCGCAGTAATTAAAATTTCCGTCTGATAAAAAAAACAATTTGGCTAAACGTAAAATGAAAGAGATTCCTAATAATTTAAATAGTCTACATAACGCATTAAGCTTAGCTAGATCACTTTTGAAAACCAGAACGCATTGGATAGCTATTCCGTCCTAGTATGCAAATAATAGTGTAAGTTTTGAATGCACAGAAAATGGGGATAGAACAACTTTACATTGATTTAAATTATAACACCATCTAATTATCTATTCACAAAACCTTCATATTAATTTTTAATCTTTTTGTTTTCTTAATGCTTATATTTTTTTTATTAGACAAAATGTTGTCTAGATCAAAAAACTGTCACAACTGCATGTACAGAAAGTCAAACCAAACCAGCAGAAGAATTAAAACAAGAAAATAACAATACCGATCTACAACAAAAACCAGTACAATCACACAGTCAATTAATACAAAGTAAATTAAATCCATCCAATGATGATAATGATGATTCGTATACAGTTAAAAAAGATAATTCAAAAAATACCACATCATGGAAATTGAACATTGACGCTGATTATGAAGTGGATTCATTGACATTAGCACGTGATGGTGGCATATTAGATTGGGATGATCGTGTTGTGGATGTGTTAGATGATCGAGAATTAGTAAGTACTGACAGTTTATTACTTTGATTTTCAATTGTATTTAACGTTTACGTTCTATAGTCTATCCCATTGGATTGTATAATTCTGTCGAATTATAACAAGTTACCTCTTTCTGTTTGTTTGAACACATCTATTCCGGTGTGTTTATAAAACGATTGACGAGCTGTGGTTGACAGGATATAAATGCGTAGAATCTAAAACATTGCAGTAGCTGGTAATCTGCTGAGAAAAAGTGTGGATTCTTAACAGATCGCTTCCAAATAGGAATCAATCATTGTTTTGTAAGAAGGAAACTTGTTTAAATGTTCCATGCTGAGAACTCCGTAAAGCATTTATTATCTGAACATGTGTGTCAAACATTTTAACACTTAGAAAAATGATGTAACGCATGGAAAAAGTGATTTTACTCTAGTTTATAACTAATCAGGAGTGCATACTTACAGTGTTCCACTTGAGTTATAAAATTGACCAAAGTTCGAAGTTCGCGTCATATTGTGGTGCGAGCTACTTATAAGTAGTATATGACGTGAGTGTCAACGTAATTTCTGGCAGCAGAAGATGGGGGAAGATCAAGAAAGCAAGAGTTAGAAAACAATGGAATTTGTATGAAACGCATGAATAGTGACAATGGATTGATGTTTTGCAACAGGAACAGTCCAGTTCGATATGATGGACTGATATTTTGCAAATTAACGATTTACGATATGGTTTTCCAATTTTACTGAGTAACTCTGTAATTTTCGTTAAATACAATTCGGTTGCCCCACCTGTGTTCTCCTTCACTACAATATGATTCCCATCGAGTAGTAATCTTTGAATTTGTTTCCAGATGAGATCAGCAGAGTTAACTTCCAAGGTACCTGAAATTAAAATAAACCAGCTGTCTAATGCTGCTGCTGAAAATTAATCGATATGAATTTTTTTTCATGAGTATCCTCGAAACATTTACTGACTCCAAATAAGATCAGTGACCTATTGAATCCACCACTGATGAACTAGCTTAACGCCAGATAACCGTTATCGAAGTTCACTTTACCTTTTGTCCACATTAGGTATTCTGACATTGATTACTGGCTGAAGTAAATTTCTCATTGTCCTCCTTCCAGCCTATTCTATCAGAATGTGGGAAAATTAAAAAAGGCATTCCTTTAATTATACTGTGTATTCTATAAATGAGAAACAAAATTAGTAATACATATTAGTTGTAAGATTACAATACACTACAAATAACGAAATTACAGTGTTATCTTCGGTATCAAAAATAAATAACAGGTGCATGATAAATTCATTGTATTTTATGAAGCCTTAAGACATACATAAATAGTTAACAAATGAAATGAAAGCTTACAATTACTTAAAAAGAAATACCATAAATCAAATGTTTATGATAATCATCCAGAAACATTAATGTCCTCAAAAAATTCTACCCCTTTCCCCATATATTCCTGACTGTCTAGGATTCACAAAATAATAAATTAAGCGATAGAGATACATCTGTAACGTGGAAAAACTACATAACACATCTATAATATAAAAATATTATATTTGTAATTTCCTAATGGGATGGAAAATTTAAAAATTTTCGGACGTTTTATCAAGCAGTGTAAGCTAATTTCTTCAGGGAATTAAAATAAACGAATTAAATTAAACCGAGAATAAATATTACAATAGAATTAAACAAAAATATTTAATACTATCAGTCAATAAGTTAATCAAAAATTGTAATGCTCGTCACTAGGTACGCTTGAAACTATTACAGGTTCATCTTAGTCGATAAACTAGAACGAGACAATGAACTGGCGTCCAAGTAGGTTACTCTGATCCGTTGACCCAAATGTACTAACAATAAGTCTTGATATAGCTTAGAAAGTGTATTCTACAAATACCCAGCCAGCACATAATGAACTCAAGCACACAAATCGCGTTTATTTATACACCATGGACAGGTCCATGGCAGAGTCACAAAATTATATACAGTAATTAGTCACAGCCAAGGCTTTTCCTTGTGGGAAATATGATCTCAAGGTCAACTGATCAGCCCATGAATAAAATCCAAAACTAAGATGTTGATCAACCGAGTTTTGGTGATCCGATCAAGTCAAAATCATGTCATTCTGGTTAGGATGATTTATATGAGACAACACGGGACTGTGTCTACAAACTATGCTGTGTCGATTGTGATGGTTTTCATATTGGAAAGTCGTTTTGTGAAATTATGACTCGAGAGAAAGAGAATTTTAGGTACACAAAAGAAACCACTTAATATCGAATGCTTTGCAAAATAATAGTGACATTTAGAAATTTTAAATGTTCAGTCAAAAGATACAAATAAAAATGTATCTAACAAGCATTCAATTATTAGTTCAGTGTTCTTGTACAATTTTCTGAAGTTACCAAGTTAAAATGACTTCTTTAAGTAAAACATTGATTTAAATGACTTATTTAGACAGTTTGCATCTAAATAGTATAAATCAATGACCGCATGAAACTGATGCAATCTTATTGACAAATAATGAAGTCGAAAGTGTATTTCATATCTGGAGTTTATTTTCACTCGATAGTTGTGGAAATTGTTGAAGTTGTTTGAAATCACAAAAATCGATCAATGTTAGATCGAAGGTCTTAGGGTTGGATGCTTACGTGCAGGAGTCATGAACGCGCACTGCTAGTGAGTCGCTTATTAGGACCAGAGAACCATCACGAATCAGTCATCAATTGACTACCATTAGAAATCTGGAACTGATGGACAGCCGCTTCATTCTGGTATGTGACTCATTAGCAATGCGCATCCACAACCCAGAACCTTTGGTCTTGCGCGTGAACGTCTAACGTCTGGACCACCGAGCTAACATTCAGCGCTGTTAATGTATATTCCCTGATCAATCTAAGGATTTAGCGCAAACTCAACCATTGTCTTCGGTAGTTACTACCTTCACCCGACAGGGTTGAGCTCCACTGGTCATGTCTTTTCGCATTAGAACTTAGGGAATTTATTCATGGAGCTAGTCACTCGTGAGCACATTGTTTATTTATACAACTAAGGCGCGAATCAATAATTTATACATAAAAAGATGCATCAGTACTGAAATAGAGAGAATGTCAAACTGATAACATCATTTATTGTTAATACAATTATTGAACAAATAGATCATCGAATAATTTCAATGTGTTTATCACTGATAATGGTGCAATAATTTTTCTCTGGTTTTCAAGATTATTTATTATTTGAATTCTTTTATTTTTTTTTTTGGGTACAAATAGACTAGACAGCTAATTTTGCTATGAATTATTTACAATGAATTATGATAGGTTGAAAAAAAAATCACTTCGAAATGATTATAGATTATTACCAGTTAATAATGTCTACGAGTTATTACCTAGATATAGTTTTTATTCAGTAGTATAATCGTTTATAGTAGTTTTTTAATGAGAAAACATTAACTCAACAGAATTTCAAGGGAATGAAGTATATAAAGCCTGCAGTTTTTTCCTAATGAATTAATTAACAAGATATTGGTGTAGGCAAGTATCCGTAAGTGAAGGAGTGTGTCCACTATGCTCATCGGCAGTTGGTACTATTTATCATGTAAACGATAGTGTGTTTTTGTTTCGTGTCACTATAGTGTGTGTAAGTATATTGATTACTTTGTCCTGTGGGTGACTTTTTGGTTATGTAGGGTTTTAGAATCCTCATGTTAATTTTTATTAGGTTTTGATTAGAGTGTGATTTTCAAATCCATACTTCAGTTGTCCTGTATATTCTGATCAAGTGTTAGGGACTTTAGATCTCCAGAACTCGCTTGATAAATGCCTTATTTTGGATTTCACGTTAGCGAGCATGGACTGATCAGTTGATCTTGAGATATCATTTCTCACCAGGAAAATCTTTGGCTGTGATTGGCTGCTGTATATTTTAGTGTGCTATTTTTGTGACTGTTCCAAGGACGTTTCTACGGTGTATAAATAAACTAGATTTGTGTGCTTGATTACATTGTGCTTGTTTGGCGTTCATAGAATATACTTCCTACGCTTATTAAGACTTCTCATCTGCCGTTTCAAATAAAGGTAGCTTACCTAGACGCTGGTTCATTGTCTCGTTTGCGTTTATCGACTAAAGTGAAACCGTAATAGTTTCAAGCGTACCTAGTGACGAATCTATCATCAATTCAAAGAGATGTCTAACTTTTAGGGAAAACAGACCGAAGGTATGCTTATTCAACGTGTGCTTGGTTAGACCACTCCAATTCGTTTAGACTCTTTTTAATAGTAAGGTTTATAACTCATGGTTTCATTACTTGTATACATATATTATCAAACTAATTTCCAAACAGCCTGTTCCATTAGCATATGTAGACTTATTAAACTTAAATGAACTAATTCTTTCTAAATAATTCAAAGTATACAACTTATAAAAATTCCTACAACTATTTTTCCCCAAATCAAACTACTTACTATTTCATTAAAAGTCAAAGTAGTATGTTAAAAATGATTAAAAAAAAGGCAAAACTTGACATGTTACTGTATCGTTTAGAATTTTTAAAATTAAATTCTTAATAAAATTAATTTTGTGAAATTATATACAGAAGTTGATTGTAATTATTGTGCAACACTATTGACAATTTGTTTTTTCCTACATATCAAAAACTTTGTACAAATAATTGCCATCAGTATTGCATTGCATTGCATAACATGGATGAAATAATTTTATTAGTATTTTCAAAAATACATCAATTTTAATTTTTATCTTTCTTAGTTTTCTTTGTAATTTGAGTAAAATTGTAATTTTATCTATCGACCTTCTTTTTTGCAGATAAAAAAAACTGTGTGTATTTTAAAGTAGGGAATTCAATGAACTACACTCAAACGTCTACTTATCAGTGTCAATATTACTGTGTATACAACATAGTTATGTATGTTGTATATATATACATGCACTGATACGCTTGTCCATATCAAATGTAATTGTAGTTTGATTTTGTTCTGCAGGGTTTCCGTTTCAT